GAGCACTGGGTGTTATATGCAAACAATGAATCATGCAACACTACATCAAAAACTAATGATGTAATGTATGGTGATTAACATAACATAATAATAAAAAAAAAAGGAAATTATACAATCTGGTGCAGGTCCTGACAAAGAAAGCCCTCTTTCTTGGGCAGTTCTGGTGACCATGAAATGCTAAAGTGATTTATCATTTCTAATGATGAGACAAAGCATTGTGACAGAAAGAATGATTCAGGGCAAAGAGTGGGGTTTTTTTCCCCCTAGGGTTAGAGATCTAGGTCTGTCTTCTCTTAGAAGAGGGGGAGTGGTGAGGCCTTTATGGGAACCCACCCCCACCCTTAAATTCATTTAAGAGCAGATGCATCTTCTTTGTCCTCCTCCCTGACCCACTGAAGCAATGAAAGTAGAAAATGGGGAAGGTCCCAGAGATTTTTCAAACCCAGCCTGCTTTTCTGACACCCCTCACAGAACACTCATTTTTAGGCAAGTGTATGGTAACATGAGGCAAGATTAGAGATAGGGACTCCTGGGAGGGGGTCACATAGAAAAGGGACAGATGGGTATTATATATTAGTACAATTTATCTGGAAGGTAATGTGGTAATCTGCATAAGAAGCTATAAAGATATTAGAGAGAAGAACACAGGCAGCAAACCCTTTGACCTTGGCCACAGCAACTTCTTACTAGACACATCTTGGGAGGCAAGGGAAACAAAAGCAAAAATGAACTACTGGGACTTTGTCAAGATAAAAAGCTTCTGCACAGCAAAGGAAACAATCAACAAAACTAAAAACCTACAGAATGGGAGAAGATATTTGCAAATGATATACCTGATAAAGGGTTAGCAAAGCACTTATCAAACTTAACACCCCAAAAATAAATAATCCAGTTAAGAAATGAGCAGAACATGAATAGACATTTTTTTCAAAGAAGACATCCAGATGGGCAACAGATGCATGAAAAGATAGATGCTCAACATCATTTATCATCAGGGAAATACAAATCAAAACCACAATGAGATACCACCTCACACCTGTCAGAATGGTTAAAATTAACAACACAGGAAACAAAGGATGTTGGCGAGGATGAGGAGAAAGGGGAACCCTCTTACACTATTGGTAGGAAAGCACTCTGGTGCAGCCACTCTGGAAAACAGTATGGAGGTTCCTTAAAAAGTTAAAAATAAAACTACCCTATGACCCAGAAATTGCACTACTAGGTACTTAACCAAAGAAAACAAAAATACTGATCTGAAGGGTCACATGCACCTTGATATTTGTAGCAGCATTATCTACAATAGCCTAACTATGGAAAGAGCCCAAATATCCATCAACATTGATGAATGGATAAAGAAACTATATATATATACACAATATTACTCAGCCATCAAAAAGAATGAAATCTTGCCATTTGCAATGATGTGGATGGAGCTAGAGTGTATTATGCTAAATGATATGTCAGTCAGAGAAAAACAAATACCATATGATTTCACTCATATGTGGAATTTAAGAAACAAAACAGATGAACATAGTTGGAGAAAAAGAGAAGCAAACCATAAAACAAACTCTTAACTATAGAGAACAAACTGAGGGTTGATGGAGCGAGGTGGTAGGGGATGGGCTAAATGGGTGATGGGTATTAAGGAGGGCACTTGTTTTGTTGAGCACTGGGTGTTACATATAAGTGATGAATCACTAAATCCTACACCTGAAACCAATTTTACCATATATGTTAACTAACTAGAATCTAAATAAAAACTTGAAATCAAACAAAAAAAGGAAAAAGAAGCTATAAAGATGTACCTACTTTCAGACAAGCATTCCACCTGTAGGATTTTTTTCCTAAGGAAATAATCAAATAATTTTACACAGAGAAATACACAAAGGATGTTCATTTCAGCACTGTTTCTAAGAGAGAAAAATTAGAAGCAACTTAAATGTCTAACACTATGGAACTGGCTAAACAATAGATGGTATGTCCGCACAGTAAAATATTATGCAACTATTAAAATCTGACGTGCTTCTATTTTATTGGCATAAAAAAAACATTCGCCATATATAAGAGTCCATGGCATCAGTCTAAAAAGGCTCCTGCAACTGAAAGTCAGGTAAATTCTTTCAGATGTTCACGTCATCTCTGTGTATTTTTTACACAGAATCAGAATCATATTGTACATCGCTGGTTCTCAGTGTATCCACAGACCACTGCAGATCCCTGAAATGGTAAGGTCAAAATTATTTTCAAAACAATCTAACATGGTATTTGCTATTTTTCACTAGGTTGACATTTACATTAATGCTGCAAAAGCAATGTTGGGTAAAACTGCTCAGCCTTAGCAGAGCCAAACTGTACTTGTAGTGATTGACTTTTTTTACAGCCACACATGCAAAAAAATTTTTAAATCTAGTTTCATTTTAAAATGTTGTGAAAGGAGTCCTTATTTATAATAAAAGTATTAACTTTATTAAATCCCAAGTCTTGAGTGCACACTTTTTAATATTCTGTGTGATAAAATGGGAAGTGTGCACAAAGCACTTCTGTTGCATAGCTTAAAACAATGGTTGTCCCAAAAAATATATTTGCATGGTCATTTGAGTTATACCCTGAATGAGCTGCTTTATTTATATGGAGCACCGTTTTTACTTGAAAGAATGACTGGCAGAAAAACTCTGTTTTTTCAGACTTGGATATTGGGCAGAAATTTTCTTAAAAATGAATGTGTGAGGGGTACCTGGGTGGCTCGGTCGGTTAAGCGTCTGACTCTTGATTTCAGCTCAGGTCATGATCTCAGGGTTGTGGGATCAAGGCCCACATGGGGCTCTACACTCAGCAAGGAGTCTGCTTGAGATTCTCTTTTCTCCCTCTCCCTCTGCTCCTCCCCCTCCTCTCTCTCTTTCTCTCTCTCTCTCTCAAATAAAT